ATCAATCAATGCCTTTGAGTTGTGTTAGAGAAGAGTATTGAACATACAATGGAGCACAAGGAGAACATATAGGTTTGTCTAGAGAAGGTGAAACCAAGTTTCTCCTTGGAGAAAAAATGGAAATGTTAATAACATAGTGATGGAAATATATATTATACTAATCCTTGTTGTTGTTGAGTACTGTAGAGTTGAAACCGACTCATAGTTGAACCTCCAGTGGGTTTTCAGAGTCAGTTAATCGCATGGGAGTGCCCTTAGGTACTTGTATTGAGAAGAATCCATTTAATACTCATGTCAAGGAGCACTGTTGTGCTGCACTCCCACAGGCACACAACTCAAAGGCATTGATTGATTTTTCTTCTATCGTCCTTAGTGGTTGTCCAACTCTCTGATGTATAGAAAGTAATGGAAAAAAATCCCTGAATCAGGCACACTATAGTCTCTAAATAGACTTTATTACTGTTTAGCACTTTGGGGAAATTCCTGATAGCAAACTTACCCAGTGCAATTCATCTTTTGATTTTCTAGCTGCTGATACCTAGAGTGTTGATTGTGGAACTAAGCAAAATGAAATTCACAGCCTCAGTCTCTACTCCATCTATTATGGTTCTGTCAATTGGCCTAGTGGTGAGGATCTTTGTCTTCTTGATGTTAAGCTTCAAGCTGTATTGAAAATGACAGTCCTTTACTGTAATCAAGAAAATGCTTCAGGTCTTCCTTCATTTCAGAAAACAAGGTTGTATCATCTGCATAGCACAGGTTGTTGACGAGTTTTCCTCCAAACCTGATGCCACACTCTTCCTCATAAACAAAGGGTAATGCTGCATAGCAACTATATGTCTATATATCTATGTGTGTGGGTATGTGTATTATGTACCATTGAGTCAAAAAGTGATTCACAGTTTACCCTCCACTGTCTTTTCAGAGGCTATAAACCAAACAGGTGGATATTGCCTGTCTTTCTTTCATGAAGCACCTAGGGTATTCAAACAACCTTTGGGTTGGCAACTCAGTTTTTTAACTCTAAACCACCAAATCTCCAGTGTGTGTGTGTGTGTGTGTGTGTGTGTGTGTGTGTGTAGTTGTTATTGTTGTTTGTGCTGTCAAGTCCACTATGACTCATAGCAACTCTACGAACATTATGACAGTTCTAAGCTTTGCCCCATTCTGATCTGAACTTACAGTCTCTGACACCCAACCCATGGCCGAAGTCATTGTATCAATATATCTTATCCAGTATCTTACTCTTTGAGCTAATTATCCACCATTCCAAACATGATATTCTTCAAGGACTTACCCCTCTTGACAACATGCCAAAATATATGAGGTGGAACTTCAAATTCCTTAACTCCAAGACTCAACCTGGTTTCACTCTCTCTAGGAGGCACTTACTTGTTCTCTTGGCAGTCTACAGAATGTTCAATACTCTGCTCCAGCACCACAACTCAAAGGCATTGATTCTTCTGACATCCTTATTAATTTTCCAGCTCTCAGATGTATAGCAAACAACTGAGAAGATGGCCTGGAAAAGGTATACCGGATACAAAAGGAATTATTATTAAAATAAAACCAAAGTTAGAGAGAAAGAAAAATATTTCTTGGTGAAACAATGTATTAAGAACTAAGCCTTGTCTTGGGTTTAGAAGCATCATAATATGGTGTGTTTATGTGGAATATTGTGACGAGTATGCTTTGGTAAATAATGACAGTTTTGGAAGAAGAGAAAATAGTACATCCCTAAGATTGACTGGCTTAATGTACACATAACTGAGAGATGCTGAGGAAATCTGGCAATGAGTACTAAAGAAAATTGACAACTTTGAAATCTGATTTTAGAAAAGAATATTTAATACACCATGAACTGCCAGAAGAATAAATGAATTTAAAAGATTTGTTGTACTTCTTGAAAGAAGTACAGTTTCTTGGAAACCAGTGTATCAGGACATTTCCTCAAACTTTGCACGTATTCTCAAAAAAGGGCCAGTCTTTGGAAGAGGCGTAATGCTTGGTAACAGAGGTCATTGGAAAATAGGAAATAACTGAACAAAATGGATTGACATAGTGACCTCAACAATGAAGTAAAACATCGTAGTGATAATGAGGATAGCATAGGACCACCTGTTACATGTAAGGGAGCTATGACTTGAATTACTTAGAAACAGCTTGAAATGTTTCAAAGCGAATTAAAACACATTGCATATTTCTTTCATTGGAAGATTCTGAAGTTTAGCGATTAAGAAATAAAATATGAATATACTTAAATACATATAAAAATAATGCTAAGCTAATATTTACAACTAAAAAATTAGAATTTCTAGCATATATTACTTGTAAGAGAAACTAAGATCACAAGCCTGTGTGATGAGCTAGGAAGGGCGAGAGAAATTGAAATCTTCAGTTCTTAATGCTCAACTAACATCTCGTTTTTTAGATCTTACTATTTTTTTTTCTCCAAATTTAAGGTTAGCAGGAGTCTCCCTCCACTCTGCAAGTCAGCTGGCTGACTGTTGGGATGGCTAGCAGCTCGATGGCGGCTTGACTTGGTGACAGTCAAGACAAGGGAAGTTTCTGGGGCTCTTTTCGTTGTGTGTTGCTGCTCTTTTTGCCCTTCAATAGTGGGTGAGCGGCCCAGAGCCTTCAACTAAGGGGAAGTAAGGATGGAGCCTGAGGAGCCTGCTCCAGGCAGTAGCTTAAAATCCTGTAGGGCCTGAGGGCCTGTCTTTAATTGTTTTTGGTGAAACATTCTTCTAGGTTGTATAGATAGCGCTGGTGTGCCCACTTGCTGGACAGGAGTAACTTGTGGTTGCCGTGAAGCTGAACACTGTGACACTGACGTGTCAAATGCGAGAATGGTTATCCATGGTGGAGGTGGACAGTGTTTGGTGGGGCTCTCTGATTAAAACAAAATTGGAAGCAAGAGTGGCATCCACTTCCATAAATAGTTTGCCTCCGGAAACCCTATGAACCTGGGGCAAGGATAAAAGTCACGGAAGTGTTGAAGACTTTCGTTCTTAGGGTTGCTATGAGTCTCCAAGGTTCACAAGCTTTTTAGGTGCCCTTTAATTGTTATTGTTACCTTCCATCCAGTTGACTATGATTCATAATGTCTCAACAAACAACCAGTATGAACCTTTTCCTGTCCTGCCTGAAGTATCATTTATTACCTATTTTCTCCCTCACAATGGTAAAAAGGAACAGGAAATAATCTTGTCTTCTTTGTCTAAATTACACGGTTACTATGTAATATAGTGTGAAATAGTGGAAGTGATGAATTAATAGTTAAGAATGTGCTGTTAAGGAAAACTAAAGCTCAAGACACAATAGAAAATATTTTTTTAAAAAACATGATAATTAGCATTCCTTTCAGTAGAATTATTGAACCAATTGGAGTTATTATGGCTAAGTTTTGGGCAAATGTACTATTTACTCAAATTTTAGGCCTTTATTGACGTTTGACGCCACCAGTGCCCCACAGGAGAAAGCTGGACAATGGAAAACGAAAAAAAAAAAAGGTAAATTCATTGACATTATCTTTAATAGTTATTAGGATAAAAAGGTTAGGAAGAAGTATTGGCCATCCACTTCCAAAATTTAACAGGCCTTCAAAAACTCTATGTACAGAGAGCATACTTAGAGTAGACTAACAGATAAGGCTGAGCCCTCAGATTTGGAAACACAAAGGAGGAGTAACAGCTATAAGCAGAAACTAATGATTGGAATGTAATGTGAGAAGCCTGACACAAACTATTTAATTTTCCATTTTGTCTTTGACTTATATAGCAGTTTGGGGGGTTTTTTTGGTTTTTTTTTTTTGGTTTTTTTTTTTTTTTTTTGTCTTGTATAAGTGTAGTCATATAGAAAACTTTGCCAAACATCTTTAAGGTTATTTATAATGTTAAAATCAAATTAAGCATCAGAAGTTAAAACAATTCAACATGTCTTAGCTTATATAAATACTTCAGTCATGTCAGTGATATAAAAATAAATCTATTTAGCTTTAATTTTATCAGTATTTATTTTCAGAATTTGACACAAAGTACTCTATTTGTATTCAACTCTCTTAAAGATAATCAGAAGAGTAAAGAGCCAGACAATGTAAGGATCAATTAACCATTGAAAGAACTAAATAAATAATTACAACAATAGTATTGGTAAGTGGAATTTATTGATGGTGAAACCCTGCTATTTAGGGAAAAGGGTTTTGGTGCCAAATGTTAAACATAATGAAATATCACGAGTTCTCCATCAGAAATTCTGGGCATGCAAAATTTTTGTGTTTGTATACTTAAGAGATTGTGCAAATAAATAAATAAAAAAGAATATTGCTACAAAATGTTGGCAAAAGAGTGGAGAAATATTAAGCAAGGGAAATTTTCAATTAACGAGGAGCTGCTTGAGAGATCCTCCTTGAATAGGACAATGGATTTGTTTCAATCTAGGTTTGTACTGTTAGGTAATGAGAATTACAGCTTGAGATATTGTACCCCAAGCCAAAACCGATATACCAAGAGGTGAATGGCCATAAATATCAGGAAATTTATTTGGATACAATAAGGCTGACGAAGGTTAAACAGACCATGTGCTTTGCTAGAGGCTACAAATTTACATGAAGACAGGTAAATGAAAGGAAATAATGCTTCCAATTGAAACTGAGGGTACGGCAGGTGAAACCTGTTTAGGATTTAATAATGATGTAATATTTCAATGAAAATGTAAGATAAATTTTATTTAAAGGGCTTGTGTTTAACTATTTCAAGCATCTGCAGTACTAACTTCCAAGTGGTAGTGATACAATATTCTAATGATAATATAGTCTGCAGGACTCCATCTTCAAAGAAAAGAGACTCCATCTTCCACCACCCTCTGTAACCATACTCCTGAGTAAACCGCTGTGAGAAGGAACCGTGGGGTGTTGTGTCCTTATTCCTGCTGGACAGGCAAGGCGCGCAACAGCCGGTCGTCGCGCGGGTCGCCCGGTCGTCGCGCGGGTCGCCAGCGCCATGAAGATCTGGACCTCCGAGCATGTCTTCGACCACCCCTGGGAAATGGTCACAACGGCTGTGATGCAGAAGGACCCCAACCTGATGAACCCCAGCGTGCTGGGCGTTGACGTCCTGCACAGGCATGTGGACCCCTCCGGTAAGCTGCACAGCCAGCGGCTTCTGAGCACGGAGTGGGGCCTGCCCTCTGTGGTGCGAAGATCTCTTGTGGGCGCAGCTCGAGCAAAGACATACGTGCAGGAGCATTCTGTAGTTGACCCAGTAGAGAAAACGATGGAACT